TGGGGGGGGGGGGGCAACCAGGGAGGGGCAAGTGTTGTGACCACAGCAGCAGCTGATTGCATTGCTGCAATGGGGACTACAGCAGCTGGTGTTGTCCCAGGCATTGAATGGCTGCCCATGGCGTGAAGCTGCCTAGTTATTCCTGTGAAGTCAGCTCTAGAAGCTAGACACCAGTTTTGCTTTGTGGGATGTAGGGATTTGGGAGAGAAGAGTCTAAACAGAGCCATATTTAAAGTAGGAGAGAGACAAAAGAGAGACTCAGCACCCAACACAGTGCACAACTTTGGGTTTGCTTTTTCTTTAAAATCACATGCGTGTCCTAGAAAGGGTGCACTAGAATCAGTTACTTTACCAACCATCTGTCCATTAATTTCCAAGCTTTGAATATTTTGTAGTAAAAGTCCATAAGCCAGCACTTAGCTTGGGGTTTTTGTCTGTGGCTGTAGTTTCCACAGAAAATGAGTCATTAGAAATGCAATCTCTGGTTCAGGAGACAGAGAAGGTTTTTCCCCCACCCCCTTCCATAGCTCAACCACAACATTCCCTCTCTCCTTTTATTTCTTTTCTTTTCTTTTAAACTTTTCCCATCCTGTTTCTGAGTTTTGTTTACATATAACTGCAGCCAGCATTTCTGTTAATTACTATGTAAGAATTAGAAGTCTGATATCTTGCAGTCTTTGTCTGGAGCCTTTGAAGAATTCCAGTATGCACATCTTCACATTATTCATTTAGATAATAAGGTTCTGTCCTAACCCAGATGAAGAAGTGACCCTTCTGACTCCCATGTTTTCCAATGGAAGAAACATTAATTGTATAGTAGCGTAGTGTCACTGCCTTTTAAAAATGCATCATTCAATGTTCTAGAGCATATCTAAGTAAGACAAGTCTTGCCTCTGAATATACGTTCCAATAAACAGCCCAAAGGTCTGATATATGTAGGTTTTATTTTTAATTGATTATGAAGCACAATGGCGCTCTTAAAATGATTGTGTTAAAACAGCACTGGTGGGTCCAATGCTTGTTCTCCGGGTGATTCCAGATCAAAACCCTTTGGCTTGCAAGTAAGAATATATTTTTTTCTAATCCCAACACTGGGGAATCGGGCTGGAAATCTGAAAGTCAGGCTGTGTTCACTCCATCTGAGACCCCCCAGCAAGAACAGAGATCGGAACTTAGCTAGCACTTCTAGGAAATGTGAACTGCAGAAGAACCTAGCGAGACCTCTTGGAACAGGATTTCCTCTGTATTGCAAATGGCTGCAAAATGATTGCAGATAGTGGAGTGAGTAGGTATGACAGGGTGTGCACCAAGGAGTAGATCCTATCAAGGAGATGTCACTGTGTTGGAGTTGCTTTTCTGACAATTATCATACATTAGTATTCTGGAAGGGAATCTCAAGGAAATAAAGAGAATGTGTATTGATGCGAACGAGTAAAATGTTATCTTTATATACTCTTAGGGCATACAATGCCTGTATTCTACCAGCCTTTGAAGAACAAGTTCAAATTATGCTTTTCATGTCAGATTCTTTTACAAAAAACAAGTTGCTGTCCATCTGAAGCTTGTAATTTGTTTCCTGCTGTATAGAAAAGCTTTGAGAGCCTTCTCTTAGATGAGGCTCTTAAGACATGTGATTCATATCCCTGATGAAAATTGTTACACAGGAGAAATTATGGTTAAATGATGGTTGGCTTGCCATTGAGGACTTTCATCTTTTCCATCCAGACGGTAAGACTCTAAATGGAGCAGACACATAGGGAAATTAGTAAGGGCCTGTGTTTCCATGATCCAAACCAGTGAAAAGTGTGATATCCTATTGAAGATGAAATGGGTACTCTGTGGAAGGCTATTGGTAGACAGCAGCTTGCTGAAAATGGTATGATACTACTGGTAATCAAGTGAATTGTTTTGGTGTTGACATCTCACTTATTTTTCTCTTTACTATTAGGGAGAAGATGGCTTTCCAGGAAATGGCACAATTGGTTTTCCTGGCTTACCAGTGAGTTTCTTTTGCTATCCAGAAAATATTGGGCAATCACTTACAGTTCTGGTGTTCCTCTAGTTTAACACACTGTCTTCCTATCCTTCCCAGGGTTATCCAGGGGACAAAGGAAATCCTGGCATTAATGTAAGTATGCTTCCGGCTCTCATAGTTAAGCAGCGAGCTTTGCATGTGCATTCTGGCTATGCCTGCTAGGATTTTTCACAGCTCGCCATTGGCTTCCAGAGCCTGTTGGCTTCCCATTCTATGAGATGAACCTCCCAAAGTGGTCTGACCTGCCTGCCTTGCTCATTTGAAATCCCATTTTCCTAAAAGTTTGAAATATCTCCTTTCACCTTTGTGCTTATGCTATGTGGAGACATGTAAGTGTGTGCATTATATGGGATTCTTTTTCTGGTGTAACTTGTCATAATGTTAGTAGACATCAGACTAGTTCTGGGGTGTGTATTTCTCAGATGCACTTTTGTGGCCTGCATTGGTAGTGAGAAGTCCTGTTTGGTGCCAGTTGGAGAGGTAGCCATGAAAAAGGAACACTGATGCCTAGATGAACAATAATATTGACCCATTAGTTTTGCAGCAGCTAATCGGAGTGCTTTGTACTGATTAGCATTACCTCTGCATTGACTGTATAATATAGAAACTACCTATCTCAAGAAGATATTGTTTTTGTAACTGGGCATTATGAGACTAAAACAAATCTCTGACTCCCCAAGGAGTATCTGTTCTCCCACAATAGGCTAAGGAGTGGACATGTTACTCAAACACCTGAATTTTTATTGAAAAGTGTTATTGTTGTCAATTTTCAGGGCACAAAGGGATATCCAGGTCCTAGAGGCGATGAGGGAGACGCTGGAGAACCTGGGACTGATGTGAGTAAAGAGTGAGATCAATATCACTTCCTATGTTAAGCTGAATCATTTCCTGAAAAGAACATGGTCCAGAAGTTTTGCTCCTATTCTATAACTTCCAGTCATGCCCCTGACATGCTCTAAAAATATGTAACATCATTTTGTTCAGACATTATATGCTGCCAAATAGTTTGGGGGTTGAGGTGGGTACTGTATCTAGATCTGTTTTTTTCTGTAAGAAAAAAAAATCATAACTGACAGACTGGAAACCTGGTGCCAATATTCTCCTTCAGATAGCTTCATCCTGAAGCCAAGGACCCTATAAGTGTGCCAGAAGCAGATGTCACTGGTGATGTACCTGAATGTAGGTTTGAATAGACAGGAAGCTTGGCAAGCTAACAACTGAGTATACTGTATCACAGGAGAAGCAGATAGTTGACAGAGTGTGAAACTAGCTGTCTCAACATAGCAATGGCTGAGAACATCAGTCATGTGGTCTAAGTCTTAAAATAAATGAATGAAGATGGAACATGTTCAAGTACTTGTAAGTGAAGAACCATGGAGCAGTACCAGTACCTCCTAACAGGGTTGTGGCCATTGCCGAGCTTCTCATGTGGAGGAACCATATGGAAGAGAGCAAGAATATTCTTTCTCATTTTCATTTCAAGAGCATAAGGAAGTAAAGAAGCCTGAGCAATTTATCCCCCCTTCCCCAGCACCAGCACACATGGCTGGCTTAAACTCTGAAGAGGCATTTGTCTTGTAAGTGAAGAATAAAAAATTCCTTGTTTAAGTATCCTTACCAGATAGGTAGGGCAGCCACTGCTAGCTATGTTCTGCTACGTTCTCTTAAGGCATTACATTGGGATGTTACGTTTAGCACTTCCTGTTATTATATGTATCCTTGCCAGAGAGAGGTAAAGGCCTTCCTGGAACGTATGCTAGAAGGGATCATTTCAAGCTGAGCAGTGTAGCTTGCAGTGCCATAACTGCTCTCAGAATTGTTTTTAAACCTGTGGCACATCATGTACTCTACCAATAGCTTAAGGGAATACAGTTTATATATGTTGCCTGTGAAGTGAGTATTTTTTTGAAAGGGCCCTTCTGGCAAGATGCTGAAACCGTACTATCTCACCCAGGAGGAACTTTATGACTGGTAATACTAGTTGTGGAAGTGTTCCTCTTGTATCAGCAGCCACGATGACAGGAGTGTTCACTTTATGTTCCTAGTAATAGAAGAGTATAGTGCACCCCCTTGTACTGTCCCTCAGGTCTGGAGCTGAGCTGCAAAGCAATATTTGCAAAGGAAAATCTAAAGGTAATTACAGTTTTGGATGTTTGCGTCTTCTGCAGGAAACTGCAATTCAGCCCCTTAGAAGCAATCCTGAAGTTTTGGAAGCACATATATGGGCTGGGACTGCTTACCCAGCCAGCATGATCTAGGGGCACACTGGCACCTTGTTTGGTTATGCCAGAGCCAAAGATTAGAAAACAAATGTAGAAAGCATTGGGACTGAAGACAGTAAAACTGACTGTGGGCTCAGAACTGTCACATGCTCAGCCTAATAGCTCAATAGCAGCCAGGCATCCCTGTCCTGAGAGCTGGTTCCCTTACAGCCTCACAGCAGACAGAAAAAGTGTCATACTCAAGTTCACTGGTGTTTCCCCTGTGGGGCTTCTTTCTCTGAAGGTAAGCTTCGGAAAGCAGCCTGGCCAAGAAGAAAATCCCCCGATTGAAAAAGAGACGAGCCTGCTCTCTGACTGTTTATTGTTTTCATTTAGATGTTTAAGAGACGCCTATGCAAAGCTCAGCCATCAAGTGCAAGTGTTTAAAAATACACACTTCCATTTAGCCCAGTGGCCAAACTAGACTTTCCAGATTCACTAGAAGTCCTGCTGGTGTGTCTCACCATACTGTTGTTTCATATCCATCGAAAAATACAGCACAGAGGATTCTCTGTCCTGACACAACAGTGCTATGTATCATGCATGGCTTTACACATCTCAGCTTTCATTACTGAAGTTTCCAGATAGCATTCTACTGCCACAGCTCTAGTGCATTTCATTCTAGTCTAGTTCTAAATAGTTCAAAGTTTTATCTTTGAAGAAACAGTATCTTTGCAGTTCCAGTTGCACTGAACTTAATGGGTGTGTTTGCTAGTTGCCCTGGAATCCTAGGTCTTTTGAAAAATCATGGAAAAACTTCAGGATTACCCCTTCTATTTTTCTGATAGCAAGGTTGTTCACCTACAATAGGTGACAATGGCTGTGTGTACATGGGACACTTACTTTGCCAAGTATCATCATTTTCAAATATACCACTCTGCTCCATGCAGGCTGTCTCCTAAACCAGAAATATTGGTGCCACATTCATGTGGTGCTCAATGTTTATGAATGACAATGTCAGTTAGCCTATGACATGCAAAAAAGCAACCTGTGTTGTTTCTCCTTTTTCCATTCACTTGTGGGCAATTGACATTTTGGAATACGGTTGTTCATGGCTCTCAGTTTGAATCGTAACTATTAAGCTAGGATTCAATACAATACATGGAACCCAACTTTGAAATGTAAAAAAAAAATGTGGATCGGTATAGCCAGGTATCTGTTTGATCAACTTTGGACCTGTTTGAGCAATATTCTTTGGCAAACTTCACTGACAGAGCTAGATCAAACTACTTTTATCAGTGGCTGTGTTGGAAAAACCTAAAGACCCACCCAGCTACCATTAAACATGCTAGTAACTGCCTTGAGTTCACTGGGGATAGGAACTTGTAGAGCTCCTAGATACAGGCACTGGCCCCTAATCTATTTGTTCTTTGCTTTGTTTGTCTTTTCCACATATTATAAAAGCATACTAATAACTGAGAAGGGCCCAAACTTTGTCATACATATGCTATCAATCTATTGCCATAAGTGCTTGTCAGTGACAGTAAAGGATGCACCCTTTAGATAATAAGTTGGCCTTTTAGATGGAGGAGATGTATTGACAAAACTTTGGCCATTTAATGAATGGGGACCCAAGTCACTCCTTCTCCAAAAATCCGGTGGAAATGTTTCTATAATTCAGCGGAATTGACATGGCTGTTTCAATCCACTCATGCAATAATGGCTTGTTCTTCTCTTGTAGAACTTAGTGCCTGGTGACAGAGGTCCCAAAGGAGCAAAAGGTCACAGAGGTCCTGAAGGACCCCCAGTAAGTATCAACGTTTTGTGGAAGAGTTTGCACTGGAAAACACTTCTTATTGAAATAGACAGAGCTTCTAGGAGTTCTGACTACTGAGAATTTTCTGATTAGATTCTTTACACACGCTGACTGTAGCACGCAAGCCTGGTTGAAAGAGGTTGTTGTCATGGGCATCAACTGCTAAAGCTTTGCCCAGTTATGCAGCTCTGTGAAATCCAAAGTAGACACTTTAGGCATGTCCGTAGTATGCCAGATGGCACAAGAGAGCACCACTGCAAAACATGCCACACCCATTTGCTCCTACTCAACACATGGCATATGCCAAAAATGTTGTCATGTAGCTGCTTTCTGGTACCCACACAGGGGATGCCAGCACACCTCTAACAGTGACCACATGACATTTTTTGGCATACATAACAGAAGTGAGTGGGCAGTAACATTCTCTAGTGCCATGCGATGTAGTGTAGACATGCTGAATTGGAGCCAAGCAAAACTCAGAATTTCACCCTATGGGCAGTTCTGCTATGTTGACATCTGCTTCCATCACAAATCAAGAGAAAAAGCTGACACAGCAGATTTTATATTTTGTTTGACACAATATTCTGTTTTATCTGAAAAGGTAGAAAATTTTTATTTCAAAATTTTTTATCAAAACAAAGCTTGCCAGCCCTCTCAGGACCATAAGTTTCATGTCAAGTCAGTACACCAAGAGACAGTACTCCAACTTTAGCACATGGCCATTTGGGGACCAGATGTTGTTATTCTCCTCCTTGGGCATCTCAGTAGAACTACAGAGCCTTCTTGCTGCTCTCTTGGTTCACCAAAATAGTTAACGCTTGTTAGTTTTCTTGTGGTAATAGCATATTTTGTCAGTGAAGATGTCCTGCTCAGTGGCCTATCTTTGGGGCCATTTAAGGAGTGGAAGTGACAGACTCTGAAGAAAGGCCAGGAGTCCTATCTAGCCAGGAGCCAGCTGCAATAGCAGGAAAGCAGCATGTGAGAGAGGAAGAACACTCTTGGATCAGCCAAAAGTGAAGAGGATATTTGCCTTCTTATCCAGTGTAACTCTACCGGTCTTAATCACACTTTCCTGGCATCCTCTCAGATTAAACTCTTGTCAATTGAACTAGTACACAGAAGTTGGGCGGGGGGGGGGCTTCCCTGGCAAATAGTTTGAATGGTGCCTCCCCCACCCTGCCCAGGTAGAGTGTTTTATGAGACTGCTTCCAATAATGTACCTTATAACTGTCCCCAGCCCTTTCCCACACACAGCTCCATGACGTGCGCAGAAGACAGATGTACCTGCTTGAAGTAGAGCCTCATGAGCTGAAACCCTAGCCTAGAGGGAAAACTACTTTTCCAGACTCTGCTTTCTGTTACTTAACAGATAGTCCAAAGATAACTGCAAATGGCACCGGTTCCTCTCTTAATCTTCCTTTTACTGTTTTCCTTTGACAGGGACCTCCTGGACCCGGGGGGCCTCCAGGGCCAGATGTGAGTGAAAGAGATTTTGTACACTTTCTTTTTAATTTCCCCCATCTGTTTTCAACTGCCCTTGGCTAAAGCACTTCAGAAAATGTATTCCTGTAGGACAGCAGCAAACAGAAAGAAGTTCCCAGGAGGGTTTACATAAACTCTAGACACCTTCAGGAGGCGAAGCCTAGTGATGTCTTCTGGATCACTGTCCCAATCCAAGTTCCCTGACAAAATGAAGGAAACAAATCCACTCTGAACTGGTGGAACTGGAAACCCATTTGTTCAGATAGGGTTATGGGCTTGTGTTTCATCTCCTGATAAAGGCAGAGCAAATGCAAAATTTTGCATTTACCATGAATGTCATGGAATCTGCCTGCACAGGGGAATTGACTCTGATTTTTCAGAGATTATTGATGACTTCATACACTGATAAGCTTGCAGTATGTGCTGTGATCAAGGCACAATTTCCAGTCCCGTAATTACTGGATACAAGAACAAATGACCACCCGTGCCTAGTGCTCCTGCATGTAAAGCAAGATGGAAGCTGCCATGGATGGCCATAGCAACAGGTTTTACCAGTTTTCAGCAGAGTACTGGCTCTCACCTGCTGTGGGCTCAGTACTATTCTTTGTGACATTTGTATTCAAATCTAATCCCCATTTCCTGCTTTCCTAGGGTTGAACTTTGAGAAAACAATGCCCAACTCTGGAGACACCGATGCTTACTGGATAGCAATCCCCCTCTTGTTAGTCCTAGGGAATGAGGAAGTCTTTTCTTGGCCATTCAACTTTTTTTCCTTTGTTTTTAGGAATGTGAAATTTTAGACATCATAATGAAAATGTGCTGTGAGTATGTGTTCCTTTGCTCTATGCTAGTCAAACAGAGGCAGTTTGTTAAACTAGTTAGCACATACAGCCTAGCCACCCAAAAGACTGAGCTAGAAGTATCCTTTGGGTTACGCAATAAAAGCCCTTTTGAAAACTTGTGACACTACAGAAAGAGCCTGGTTTTGCTGGGTCTGGAAAAGGAAATGAGAGAATTTTTTTTTAATATTTTGGTATTAAATTTTTCACAGACAAAGGCCTGCCATTCTTCTACAATACGACTCCTAGGGCATGTCCAGATGTACATGGACGTTTGGTTCCCTGGGGATAACTAGTGGTGGTATACCTTGCGCCACCACTTCTTGTCCCCAGGGAACGCCTGTGTCACATGCACTTTGGCACCTGGTAAGTTGCCTGGGGTGGCATAGGGACAGCTGGGGACAACACTGTGCTGGCCCCAGCAGCCTTACCTGTGGTTCTGGGGGCTTTCTGGACCTGCAACCATGGTGATCCTGCCGGGCACAACCTGGCCACCAGCTGCAATGCGGCTCTGAGCGGCCCAGCTCTGCTTTTTAGCAGCACATGCTGCCCAAGTGTGCACTGCTTCAGGGTTTTTTTCTGATTTTTTTTTTTTTTTTTTTTTTTTTTTGACCCCTGGATATCCAGGGGTCAAAAAAAAAACATGGGAAAAAAATCAGATCAGCGCATGCTTGGGTGGCATGCCCTTACAGCGCAGAGAACTCTGAACTGTGTGGTATGGCCACTGGAAATGTGTTTGTAGCACCACATACCGCGTGACTGCACTCATCTGGACGCACCCCTAGAGCAGAAGCTGGCTGCTTTGCTTGGCTCTGTGTAGGTGGACCAAACTCTCTGGCTCGGGAAAAGTTGTTCAGTGCTCTAAGCCTGAGTGCGAGAAGAGTCCTATTGCATTGTGACAAACAGACAGTCATGATGCCCTTAGGCCCATGCCAGCATGCTGCAGAGAACAGCTCTGTGCTAGCGTCAGATCAACTATATTGAAATAGCACTTGAGGCGGTAAGGCATCCTAATTTTCATGCACTTTCTTCTCTTGGGATGGAAGGAAATATTACTTGCTAGTGGTAAATCATTTTCTCATTAAATGAGTCATCTAAAGTAACTGGAAGTCCCTGCTGTAGCCTATTTTCAACCCACAATGAAATGTAGAACTGCTAGTCACTGCCAGTGGTTCAGAGGCACAGAACTAGGCGTGGTTCCCATCCAGTATGCCATCTGATTGAGGCATTGCAGCTCAGCTTTGCAGGATCTAAAACTGCAGCTGGCAAAGCAGCTGTAAGCCAAGCTCTGGACCCCAGCTTTCAGAACTTAATTTTAATATCACACATGCAAAGGCTGGGGAATGAACATGCTTAATTGCTGCAGTTGCACGCACAAATCATGAATTTGCATTTGCACCTCCCAGTTAGACATACATAAATTCCAGAATTGCATATGCATACCGGATTTGTTAACTCATGGTAATTGTACAGTCAATTACATGCACAGCTGGTCATGCAGTTTTTAATTGTACAATTTTTCAGCTGACTTTTGAAAATCAAGCCCTAAATATTTTTCACTGCAAAAAGGATTTTAACATCTGGAACAAGTTATCCAGAGAGGTGGTGGAATCTCAGTCCTTGGAGGTTTTTAAGACCCAGCTAGACAAAGCCTTGGATGATGACATAGTTGGGGACAGTCCTCCTTTGAACAAAAGGACTAGATGACCTCCTAAGGTCCCTTCCAACCCTAATTTTCTATGATCTCTATGTTAACAGCCAGTGTAATTTTGTATACTTGTGACTGAGGAAAGGTAATGCTGCTTTCCATGCATATGGTGCTAAAGAATCGTGGTCAGCAGACATTAATGAATTGCCAGGGGAGTCACAGTATTTGGGGAGCTGAAACTGGTCTTTGCCATGTAATTCACTTAACCTTTCTGGGTTAATCCTATATTTATATTTAAAAAGTCATAAATCAACATGTCTAAGAATAGAATGTGGCTACATATATTGTTTCAAACCTCCTACCACCTCATGCGCACTAAGCTGCAGAATGTGATAAAGAGATCATATTTAGAAAAGGTTTCAGTGCATTCTAACAATATATTATTGTTTTGTTAGAACTAGCATTTCCCAACTTGTGTTCAGCCCAAAGAAGTACACCATCTCTTCCAAAATGTCTTCCCTTTAGAAAATGATTGCCCAGTCCACTGAGCTGCAGACACATGTTTGGATACTCCCTGGGAGATATTTTGCTGTGCTACTATGTCACGTAATATATGCTCCATACATACATGAGAGAGCCTCTCAACCTATACGTTATAACCCATTTTGTCTGGCTCCTTCATGAGACTGCACTGAGGAAAGATACTGAACATCCAGGGTCTGAACCTTGGAGCCCTTTTTAAATATATCAAACGTGAGATATTTCTCCTTGAAGGAGAAATGCTTCAACTGTGCAAATCCCTCATGCTGTGATACTGTACTACAGACAGTCTGAATTATTGTGGGAGAAAACATGCAGTATGTTATGTTTAAACATCCTCTCTCTTTCTTTCCTTTCTCCTCCAGCTTGCTGTGGTAAGTGTCATTTTACAAATGTATTAAGAAGGTTTTGCTAGTTCTTTTTCTTGTTTTCAACCCACCTTCCTTCCTGTACCCACAATCACTAGCTAGGCAATGAAATCTTGTAGTATGGAATGAGCTGTGAGAACACAGAAAAAAAAGAACCAAGGATGAACTGAATTGGGAAAAGCCTGGGTGGGACGACGACAGTATTTGGAAGGCTTCAAGGCCTTGCACATATATTTGCTGGCTGGAGGAAAATAACCATCCAACTGACCCATGCCAACAATGCTTTAGGAAATCATTCCCCACCCTTTCTGTACTTGCAAGTGAATCAAGTACTGTACATGTTTTAAATCCAGAGCTACCTCCAACTCCCAAACCCTGCAGGGAGGGGAGAGTTGCAATTTAACTTCCCATAAAGTCTTGATGGACTGGGTAAGAATCCAAAGGCATTGGGGTACTGCCCAGGGAGAACTGAGCTGCTTCATCAAACCCAGATGGCACAACCATTTTCTAGCTGAGTTGGCTTATTAACTTATGCTTGCAGCATACCAACCTTACTTTTGTCTCTTTTGGAAAGAAATGAGGAGCCTTTAGATGAGATTCTTTTTAAACCTGATTAGAGGAGTTTTGTAGACCCTTGTCCTTTTTTAAAATGCTACGTCCATTTTACATAATGTGTAAAGCACAGAAGGGTCAGAACAGGCTTTTGAGTAATCAGTAGGAAAAACAGCTAAATAAATCTCCAAATATATGTTCAGTGATTTCAGTGCTTTCTTTTGTGTTGCATCTTCTGTAGCAGCAAGACAAACACATCCTTCTGGATGCAGCAGAGTCCTCTGCTTGCTTGTGTAATCTATACTGAAAAGTATTATGCTATACTAAAATGGCTAAGGCATATAAAACTAACCCCTCTCACCTTGTTCCTTGCTGCAGAGTGCACATGCGGCCCTATCGATCTTCTTTTCGTATTGGACAGTTCAGAGAGTATCGGCCTGCAAAACTTCCAGATTGCCAAGGATTTCATCATTAGAGTCATTGACAGGCTGAGTAAAGATGAACGTGTAAAGGTGAGCTTTTTGCATGCCACCAATGTGTACTGTGTCCAGAATGGGAAGTCCTTGGCTGTACAGGTAGGGCTGGCCAGCTGACAATCATTCTACTTTTTAGAAAATGTTGGGGGTCATGACCATTGTTTTCATTCTCTGCAGGTTCAGAGACAAGGCCTTTGAAATAATGGGGGAAGGGGGGAGAGAAGAGGCAGAGAGAGAGAGAGACCCATGCCAGAGGGATTCCAATATTAGACTGTATATAGACCCCACCTAGGATGTGAGAGACCCAAGTATGAGCTCTCATTCTGCCTGGTTTGAAACACAGGCTGGAACCAAGTCCTAGATGAGCATGCGAGCCACTAGGCAATAGAATCATTCTGCACTTCTCTCACTTTTTGGAGCTATTCAACTATGTGCCAGTAATTAAATATTCAGACTTGCAACTAAATATGACCAGAGACAGATGATCACTCTATTGCTTATGGATTAGGGGACTTGTCTGGAAAATGCAGGTTCATATCTCTGCTCTAAGTCAGGGAACCCCATTACAAGGCCTGTGTCTAGCACAATAGGTGAGTGCCCAAGCCACTGAGATGTTAGCTATTCTGGAAATGCCATTATAGGCCTAAGAATATATTATAAGAACTGGTATGTTTCCCAGAAGCACTTAATCTTTGACAGAAAATGAGTTTCTCTGAAAATGTCTTAGCTGCTGCAGCACCCCTGGCAATGTAATCCAAATCCTATCCAAAGTTGCTCTAAGGTATGACAAGGGCAGACTAAAATTAGGGGAAGCACAGAGGTGGTTTAAAGATACTTTTCCCTACCTTCATCTCTTACTTGCACTGAGCCCAGCTTGGCCAAAATGGAGGAGGATTGGAAGGGATTACCCCTGAATGCTAACAGAAGTATAGACCTGGAACTACAGAAACAAGCCCTCTATGCTCCCAGAAGGGTATGAGCCTGCTTGTGAGACTCTTCTTCCGTTCATGCTCATTCAGTGACAAACTCTAGGACTTTGTAAGCAGATCTAGGCATCACAGGCACAAAATGAGTTACAGGTTGGATTTTTTCTGGACTCCTCAGGGTCCCATGCCAGCCCCAGGGGATATGTTGCCTTCTTACTAACATTTGGCTCAAGAACTTCCATTTTGTTTCCAACCATTGTTCAACAGTTTGAGGCTGGGGAGTCACAGGTGGGCGTTGTGCAGTACAGCCATGACAACACCCAGGAGCTGGTGAAAATGGGTGATGACAACATTGGAAACATCGGAGCCTTGAAGCAGTAAGTCTGAGTAGCTGCATGTCCATCAGAGGTCAGCTATGTGCCCTATTTGAGTGGTTATGTATCTGCATATAATGCTGCTTGTGCCTCTGGATTGATGAGTTCTGACAGTGTAGAGACTGCTGAGCACTCTAAGAGTGCATATCGATTAGGGCTGTGCGAAATTTCACTGGCCGTTTTGTTTTGACACTGCTTCGACTCATTTCGAGGTTGAAACCACAAAATCAAAACAAAACAAAGGTCGTCGAAATAGCCTCGAAACAAAACAAGGCTAGTCAAAACATTTTGAAAGTCGAAACGTTTCAACCATAGCCCTGGGGATGGGAAGTCAGTCCAGCTGGGCTGCCGCCCCATCCCCAGCAAAATGTCAAAACGGAAAGGAACAGCTGTTTCGAGTCAAAATGAAATTCGAAATGGAACGCTGTTCCCTCGAACCATCAAAACTGAAGACAAAACAGCGCCGTTTTGCACGGCCCTTATATCAATGACTCACAAATTGCATCTTATTGTTTGCACATTGCAGCCATTGCCCAAGATTGGTACATAAGGGAGGCACAACCCCCACAGAAGATTCCAGAGATTAACATGTAATCTTACAGGCCAGCAGGGCATGATTCGGGTTGACCCCTGTGTCACCTTATGAAAAGAAGCACTGTGGGTTCCCATACTCATCAGCTCATATCTTTGCTAGGCCTCGTGTGGTAAAACAAGTGTCTTTATCTTGATTTGGGAAGCAATCTGGCATTGTTTCCTTTCATTTTCACTCTCATGGAGGCCTAGTCATGTTTCATTTATGAAGGGCCACATCACACAGGACACTTAGAAGGTTGGAGACTCTGGTGCAAACCCTGGGTTGGAACCAAAAACTTGACGATTGTCAGTTCCAGCCTCTGCGCTGCACCAGATGTTTGAACCAGCTCTCGTGCATGCTGGGGGTGGGACTGAAAATCAGCGGATTGTCAGTCTCAGTCCCAGCACCACACCAAAACCAATTCAAGATGCTGGTGAGGTGTGAGGGATGGGATTAACAATCAGCCATGTAGTCTGGGCATCAGAGGGCATCTCACCATGTCATATTCCTTTGAAACATCCTTGATTGCCAGTCGCAGTGCAATCACTCATATGATACTGGTTTGGTGGCTTTCACCAAACTAGCTGAATTCATGGAGAGTCTTGAGTTCCAGCTTGCAAAGATGCCCTGCCTGCTAGATACCTTCCCCACTCGCCTCACTTGGATGTCTTCCACAGCATAGTTAGCTTGAAAGTGTCAGTAGGTGCACTTGACTTACTCTTACTGGAGGCACTCATGGAATTCAGATGGGTGGGAGGTGACAGCAACCAACAGCCAAACTACGTTTTTGGTAGGAAGCCAGTAGAGGTGCCAAGAGCTGCAGGATCTTTCCAGACTCTTCTTGGGGGATATTGGATGGGATTTGCCCCCTCAAACCTCAGAGTGCCAGGTTCAATCCAGAGAGCTAAGGTGCTCCTCAGACTGTCTCCATGCAAGGCACTGGGCCTCTACACCAGCCACATGCTCACCTGCTGCTCCCCCAAACTCTGACTGCCCCTGAGAACTCCTTAAAAGGGGTAAGGGGCATAGCATGAAGGGTATCTACAAGGCAACAAGTGCAGCCTCCATTATATTGGCATCCCTGTGGAATCCCCACGGTGCAAGGAACATATAGATGCCCAGGCCCATCTTTGTGGGGTATAACTCTGAAGCAGCAGAGGAAAGGATTGCAGAAACTGCTCTGCTACACAAACCAGCAGGGCATAATCACATACGTTCCTGTGCTCTGCATGTTCCTTCTGCCCTGCACTCTATAGAGCTCCTCTCTGGAAAGCAGCAGCAACAGGCTGCCCTATGGTGATACACACCAGGCCAGTTATGCTACTGTGATTGTAACAGTAGGCTCATACCTCTGTCCCCAGTGAGCCAGAGGAGATGGGGACAGGCTCTTCCAAAGTACAAGATTGCCAGTGGGTGGCATATTATTTCCTTTGAGTGGGCATAGTCCCCATCTATTGCATATATCTGCACTGCTCACTGCAGCCCCATTTAGCAGCATATCCAGTCAGAAAGAGGGTTCTCTTTGACAGCTTGTCCGAGTCTCGAGTGGCAGCCATGCCCATAGATACTCACCTGTTGTGTGATACTAAGTACTGTATGTGATACAGTATCACTGAATACACCAGCATGCATTTGCCACAGCTACTCTACCATTGTACATGTTATTTGTTATGCCAGTAGAAGCTAAGCCTGTAACTCATGCCAGTAGAAGCTCCTGCAACTTAACTAATCGGGTACCTGAATTTGAACCAGTTGTGGAAGCAGGATTCAAGCTGTATGGGTCCCTGGCATGTGCATGCATGTAATGCCCAAGTCCCTGAGGTGGCTTTCACCCACAAAATTAACTGAGAGTGGCTCTCAGATTTTCTGGCAAACTGAGCCAGAACAATCCTTGTTCTCTGTGAAGAGGATTCTTTCTTTGTTGATGATATGGCCAGGAAGTAACTCTTCCTATCCCACACTACAAATGTTTCAGCCACAGCACTCGCTCAAGCCATGAAGACATTTGACTTCTATGACATTTGCAGCTGAGGACCATCTGGGAACTGGGGCCATTCAGTTTGAGCCTTATTTGCTGTTGTGCTTGCAGAGCTGTGAAGAACCTGAGGTGGATAGCTGGTGGGACCTACACCGGAGAAGCCCTGCAGTTCACCAAGGATAACCTGCTGTCACGGTTTACCACAGACAAGAGGGTTGCCATCGTCATCACAGATGGCCGGTCAGACACCCTGCGTGACACCGCCTCACTCTCCTCGCTCTGTGATGTCACCCAGGTAATGGGAAAGAGGACTGTCTGGGCCTGGACCTAGGCAGCCCTTTTTGCCTTATCAGTGAGGAAACGTGACGTGTGAGAGATTCCACAGTGCACGGGGGCAGGCTGGTTCTGAGCAGTAGCAACAGTCTGGCCCGAGGCAGGGTGAGCTTTCCCCCACATGCATGTACACGTACATCCAAAGAGCATGAGGAGCTGGTGTCGGTATTACTGGGGAGCAGTTGTTCATTAATGAGAGACTGTGGCTTCAGGCCTACACACGATCTCCATCTTCTGATTCTGCCTTTCTTCTTTTCCCTCCATACATGTCATCTTAGACCAAAACATTTTCAAGTCAGGGGCTGCATCTGTTTTCATAAAGCACCTAGCACCATATAAGCCCAGTTCTCATCTGCACTCTTTAGGCACTACTAGGATCTGAATAAATAACCAGGCATAACCAACAGGTTGGAATACCACAATAAGTTACTCTTATCTTGCAGGTGGTTTCTCTTGGGATTGGCGATATTTTCCGCACGGCCCCTAACTCTGAGCAGTTAGGGGTAATTTCTTGTCAAGGCACATCCCAGAAACCAGGACTATCTGTTCAAAGAGACAACTATGCTGAACTGTTAGAAGACAGTTTCCTGCAAAACATTACTGCACATGTCTGTAAAGGTAGGTTACCTCTTGTCTTTCTGGGGACAGTTGAAGTCAGCTAAGCTTTGGCTCTGGGCTGGTGCCTCAGAACTGGGAGCGCAGCAGGGGCAACAAGAAACATGAGCCAGGAGAGTGGCTGACCTAGCCTGACTGATGATTTGGCATGGGAGTGGCCCTGATGGCATCCCAGATGATTATGTTCTCAGTTAGTACCATAATGTCAGACATGGTGCGCTCTAAAGTCAGGATAAAAGTTCAGCCCTGATTTGAATGAATGAAGGGATTCTACCATTTCCCTTGCATTGCTGTAAGGACCAAGCCCACCCTGTGATATGGAGCCCACCTTGTGGAGGAGAAAGGAGAGAGTTGGTTTCCCACAGCCAGGGCAGGACAAGCTAGGTTGGCTGCCCCAATCTAAGTTTCAGGAACGAAGTCTACTGACAATGTCTGTTCGTACATCATAGCCCTACAGGTGTGTGTTCAGACCTCATCGTTGGATGGCATGGACAATGCCTGGAATGCAGTCCCATTCCTTTTGGAACAAAAGGAGATGTACATGGCAGCATGGTACTCCTCCTAGGCCATGCCAAAGCCATCCTGGCTTTGCTGCCTGTGAAGCTTACTTATTGCCGCCTAGAAATAACGTCAGAAGCAGTAAAGCCAGGAGACATCTGAAAAAAGGTGTGTGTGTGTGTGTGTGTGTTGGAAGGGGAAGGGTGCCAGTCAGTAGAAGCCTACTTTTTCTACTGACTGGCACCCTTCCCCACCACACACACACCTTTTTTCAGATATCTCCATTTTTTAAAAGGGTGACATTTGAGCAGATGAACTGAGGCATGTAATACTGGTATTCAGAGATATACCTTGAGTCATTCAATGGTACAGCAACATGGGATTGTGCAATAAGACCTGGTTAAAGGTGCTGGCATTCCACAATGACAGCACTACTGTGTTTATTGGTCACCAAAGGGCAGCAGGAAGTATCACATATCTGTTTTAGTGATAAATGCCCAGTAGCACCATTTTGAATTGTTTTTTATGATCTGGCTCCCTGCCTTTTGCTCTTGGGGTACCACCAACAAGCCATCTGCATCATATCCAGCAAGGTAGACCAAGCTAAGACATTTTCTGAGTGAGTGATAGCATTTAATATGATGTGTTTTGCTCCATTTCTTTTACAGAAAAGAAATGTCCAGACTACACCTGCCCAAGTGAGTATTTACTGTGAATGAAATGCATCAGAGGCAGGTGGGCAGGTTGGATTGCAGAGGTGGGGGAGTAATGTTACCTCTGCTGGAATCCAGGGAATCTGAGAGAGTGTTTCTGAAGAGAAAGAACCACCCAATAGGACCAGCATGGATACAAATCCTGAGTCTCAGACTAATTAATAGGTTTGCTGGGCTCTAATATTGAATAGTACTGAACAGTGTTGTGGTACTGGACAGAAGCAACCAAGTTTAGAATGACAGCAGCAATGGGAGAACTTCAATATGATGCATACATAGTAGCCAATGAACATAAGAGGGCCAGAATAAGGCAAGTCAGAACAGGTTGCCTACAGCATAGCTACAGACCATTGGCTGGTCACTTTCTAGTGATGCAGACAAGTTGGTTCAAATAAGTAATTATATTTCAACGCTAAATCACAGTGATCAAAGCAACATTAACTTCATAATTCTTTGAAGAGGGAAAGGCACATAAATTTAGCACACCAACAGTAAACTTTAGAAATGGACATTAAAAAAAACCTGTGGAATTTTGTCAAAATCAGCCAGAAGTCAAAATTTAGGCAGATAGCATTCTTAAGCCAACTATGAAGTATAATTGAAACAAATAAAACACAGTCTTAGAAAGCGTACACATCTTTAGCTCAAAAGACAGCCCATAGTCAAGGAAATCAACCTGGTGTGTTAAATTATAAGGGCTAATAGATTTTTCAGGCCAAAAAAATGTCCAGGAGTCCAGTCTTCCAGGGAGCATGGAGAGGTAAAAGGACAAGATCAACTATGAAAGGAGGCTTACAGAGAACTGTAAAATAATCAGAGAATAAATTTCTTAGGACATTCAGAAACAGGAAGCCTGAGAGGTAACTGCTGCATGCACTGGGCTGTGGTGGGGAGAAGGATCATCTGAGGAGAGTAAGTAACAATGGACTTTTCTCTGCACAGTCACTTTTGCAGGATCAGCTGATATCACACTCCTGGTGGATGGCTCCACCAGTGTCGGGAGTAGGAACTTTGAGATCTCCAAGTCATTTGTGAAGCGGCTGGCAGAGAGGTTCCTGTCGGCAAAAAAGGGTTTGGGTGACTCAGTGCGCGTCTCAGTTGTTCAGTACAGTGGTAAAGGACAGCAGAAAAATGAGGTGGAGTTCTCACAGAACTACACAGTGATTGCCGATGCAGTTGATAAAATGCAGTACATGAATGACGCCACCGATGTCAATGCAGCCATCAGGTATGTCACTAATGTGTATCGGCAGACTTCCCCGTCTGGTGTCAAGAAGAGCGTCCTGATCTTCTCGGATGGTAACTCCCAAGGGATCAAAGAAACAGACATAGAGAAGGCAGTGCAAGATGCTCTGAATCAAGGCCTTGAGATCTATGTGCTAGCGGTGGGCAACCAAGTCAATGAGCCAAACATCCGCGCCCTTGTCACTGGGAAGAGCAGAGTTTATGAGGTGACCTATGGGGAGCGCCATCTCTTCAGACTGCCTGACTACCATTCCCTGCTGCGTGGTGTCTTCTACCAAACAGTCTCCAGGAAGATAGCTGTTGACTGAATTGCAGAATGGCCCTCCACCGGTCTGAAAGTGTCAGGCTACATATGCTTTGTTTCTCTTAAGAATGAAAAAGTTAGCAATACTCTTGATCAACCTGATGAACTTGTGTTTCCAGGAAAAGCCATAATACCAGGGTCTGTCTGTGCACTACCCCTTTTCCCTTGCTTTGGAGCTTTAATTTTATCCCTTGTATGTTCATCCCCCTGGATACGGAAGTTCCCACCCACCTTGCAGCTTCCTCCCTCCACCACCCACAGCAGACACGCATAGGGTTCATCCCAGCTACGAGCCTCAGAACATATACTGTTCTTGCATTTCTCTGTTTTTAGGTGCAAATTAGACTGATAAGACTAATACCACTATGAATTTACCTGACTTCACAAGGTTGATCGACCTTTTGCTCTATATTATTAAATTTTTTCTTCTCCAAATTAAAGCTGATCAGGTCATAATGTTTTTAACCCAACATCATGTTGAGAGTGAAACTTTCCAAAGCAAGCCACCATGTCTTTGGTAAGCATTGTGCAGGAGGGAAGAGGAAGGGGATTTTTGTCACAACTAGGAGGTTTGCTTCACATCTCCAACTGGTGCAGGGAAGAAGGACCTTCAAAACTGCCCTCAGCAGCTGGGTGCCAGAGTCAGATGGAAAGAGTAAATGGCTTCCAGTGCCATGGGATTCAGTACAGTGTGGCCCATCCATATTTCCCAGGGCAGGAATGGAGGTAATGGAGTGTGTTTTGGCACTGGCTGGGCTTCCATCTACCCCTTTGGAACTGGGTGGATAGAAATCCAATTAAATTGGCCCCACCACATTTGAACAAAAACTGGAGAATAACAATAGGGGACAATAGTGAAGAAACATCTTAAAGACACTTCTTCTGACTTCTCATTTACACAACAAAAAAGTGACGCCACAAATGATCTGGTGATGTGGGTTATTTTCAAAATTATTCTTCAGAAAATCTGTCAAGGCCCATTTAACAGGACTTTCAGAAGTGCTTAGGCACTTACCTCTTAACCCTAGAGAAGAAGCGGAGAGATGCTTAACTCTATAAGAGCTGGCTTCCATTGAACTCTGTAGGCACCTAAGAGCCTAGACTTTTTTTAAAAGTCCCACTCATTACAGTATATACTGATTTAAAGCCTAATCCAGGGACCACTGAAGTCTATGGAGAGATCCATTTTATCTGTAGGGGGCTTTGGATCAGGCTCTAAGATATACTAGCAGGCAAAGGTGCTATCCCTACCAGGGTGATGTCTGCCCTTTATGTTTACACAGTAATTTCTAAGACCATGCTGAAGATATGGTGAGGTTTCATTCAGTGTTTCCAATGGTGCTCTTGCTATGAAATTATGTGCTTCTAAAAGAAATGGCATTGATTACATGACATCAGTGTTGCTATTCATTTTACTTTGTAATCAAGATCCATTTTACCAGCTAGTTTTATTTTATGCCTGTGTTTTACTGAAATGTGTTCACTTCAAAAGTTTGTCCAAATAAATTGTTTTCCACAGCCCTGCTGGAAAATTGTCTGTGTCTAAGTTTAACACCAGGGCTAGGGACAGAAGTTCCACATAAACTGGTTTAAGTGATCAGAAACTGGTTTAAACTTGTAACAGAACAGAAGCTCAGTGCACATAAACCAGTTTAAAGATGGCTGAAATTGGTTTAAGATAAACCTGGTTGAATATAGTATCAGACTTAACCAATTTTGGGTCAAACTGGTTTAAGAAACTTTTATCCCAGACCCCTTCATGGTTCAAGTTTAATCATAGGCCCCCAGCGTGCTTTGCAGGCCTAGGCTGGGCTGTCTGCTCCAGCGAGCAGGGATGGACCTGCGCCTCTGCTTGGGCAGTGAGGACTGGCTGGGGGGGCAAGCCCAGCTGCAGATGCAGCTTAGTCTGTGGGGGTGAACTGCCCTCCCCCTCCCCCTCCCCCTGAAAACCCCGGCTTAGGTCTGGGCCAGGGAGGGGGGTAAATACCCCTTCACCTGCTCTAATTTAATGCTGGCTGCAACTGTGAACTGCGAGTCCCAGAGGTACCTGGAAGTAGGAGGAGTAAGTGATGAGCAGCCCTGAAGAGTCCTGTAGCTGTAATTCTGGACTGCAAATCCCAGAGACCTCAGGGGCAGCAGGAAGAGGAAGTGAACACACAGCCAGAGAGCCATGCTCTAGCACCCTCCTGCCCCCACAGTTTCTGGCCTGAGCCATTGCAGGCATGTAGCTGCATTTCCTGAATCAAAGGTAAATGTCTGTTCACTTCTCTTTCAATTTAATCTGTGCAGTTTAAACTAACCTACAAAGACTGAATTGATTCAGCCTTGCCTTTTTGACTGTCTGTACTTAGCCCAGGAGATGGGCAAGCCCAGCAGTTTCAGAACTTGTGCTAAGAGTTGCTCAGTGGAAAATGTGGCTAACTCACAAACATCCTTTGGGATCTTGTGAGACCTAGGATTATCTGTAGATATGCACAGGAACTTTCAACATGAACTTTCTATATGAATAACAGAGAAAGGAACCATTGCTTATCATTCATGAAATGGGCACTGATTAATTTCCTAGATTTAGAAATTCAACAAATTGTGTATTTGAGAGATATATTGGTCCATATATTTATTATTGTACACACTCACTGATGTTAAAAGATTATGACATATTCAACATCTAGCACTCAGGTTAGGATCTGCCAGAATTCAGGTGGCTTGTACAACTTTAATTTGGCCTCCTTGTGATGGGGCCCCTGCCCCATTACTGAGATGGGGGAGCAAGCCCCTGTAAACAGAGTTGATGGTGGAAGGGACCTAAATAAGTACTCACCACGGAGGTAGTGGTGGCAGCAACATCAGGGACTAGAATCTTGCACAGGAGCACTACAGAGTCCAGCAGCATTAAGTCATCCTGAGGCTGAGCCAGCAAGCTGAATCAGGAAACGCCTGCAGCAGTTCAGGGAGGCACGGGGCAGGTGCAGGGAGATACATAAAAACAGGCCCTGGGCCAAGAGGGCTTGGCTGGCCCCAGAGGCTGAAGGAGAAGGAGCCCTGCAGTAAGTTGCTTGCTGAGGAAAGCCTAATAAAGACCCTGCTAGTCTGGATAGAGGCCAGTGATGAGCTGATGGCTGGCAGGGAACGAAACTGGCAGGGAGTATGGATGGGGGATTTTGGATAGCCAGTGCACTAGAGTATTAAGTTATAGCTGGTGAGCTGTTTTGGTTTGTGTTACCTGGTGGTTTGTAGAAGGGACTAAAGGATGGTTTGCTGATCCCATTAGTGCCTGAGGGACATGTTACTTCCTTGAGCCCCAACAGGGGTCAAGCTCAAAGCAGAGCTTGTGGGGCCAGGGGGCCCAAAGCCCAGAGCAAGACAAAGCTGGGGACCAGGGGGCTCAGCACCCAGGAAGGGCAGAGACAGGGGCCCAGCAAAAGCAGACTCAGTGGCCAGAGGGTCTTTAATTATATGATCCCCTGCTGTTTTTTCTACAGGACCCTGTTTCATTCGGTGCACAGATAGATGGTACTCACTAAATTAGCAGACATTCAATACTTTCTCCTCCCTCCTCACTGGCTAGAGACAGATATTCAAGAAGCCTGAATAATCTTTGATTAGTCTAACCTGCAAAACTTAAACCAATTTGGAGGTGACTGGACATTCCCTTTTCATTCCAGAAATACAAGCACATGCATCAATAGGCACATGCCTGCAGTGGCTCAGGCTAGGCTAGACCAGCCTTCCTTTCCCTTTAACAGGTCTGAGCTGGGGAGGGCATGTGTAGGCAGGATACTGATTAGCCCAGCAGAGAATTGATAACAGTGTTTATCAACCATAACTCAGTGTTTAGCACCCCATTAAGAAAACAACAGAAGGACATTACCAGCTACCTGTTGAAGGTACCTCTGGTCCCTGCCTTTGTCACAGCAGGGACCAGAGCCAGTATGTGGTCTGCTAGCTAATACACAGACACCTTTCAGCAAGGCAGAAGGGAGGGGGGAATTCCTGCTTAGCAGCCTGCATGTCTCTGCTGGAGCTGCAGCTGCAGCCAGGGAGCAGAGGGGAGGAACCAGCCCTGCTGTGGAGCAGAGAGCCCCTCCCAGCCCAGAGAGGATGCTGGGATGCTGGGGGAGTCTGCTTTATCTTAAACCAGCAAGGGGTCTGAGACAGACATTGCATAAACCAGATTAACCCAAATTAGTTAAGTCTGATACTACATTCAACCAGGTTTATCACAAACAGGTTTCAGCCATTTTCAAACTGGTTTATGTGCACTGAACATCTGTTCTGTTACAGGTTTAAACCAGTTTCTGATTACTTAAACCAGTTTATGTGTAATGGCTGGCCCTGGCTGCTATGTCCAGTCTGACCTTGCTCATTTCCTACACTTCAAACCCTGCTTTAAAGATACACATTCATTTCCTCACAGGATTTTCTTCAGTGCGTATTACTATAGAATACTGAGTGGTTCACAAACATAGTTGACTTTATCTTTACAAGATGCCCCTCAAATATTAGGGAAGGGCATTAGACCTTTTTACAAATGGGAATGCAGAGACATAAAGGCCATGTGTCCAGTTAGAACCTGATATCAACAGTCAGGAAACCTGAACAGAGAAGGGGGGAGTAGAAAGGCTAGAACTACATTTCTTTGTCCAATTTTAAAACCTCTAACCTATTCCCTGTTATCTTCAAACAAGCAAGCAAGCAAAATAAATCCCTCCCCCCATTCATGCATCTTGGATGCTAAGACTGCTGTAAAATGTTCCCTTATTAGACCTTCCTTTTCCCACTTCTCCACCTTCAAAGCAAATCCTAGGAAAAGGACACACAAATTGATGCTGGGTCTATCATCTTGATGTAGGTAATGTTGCTGCTACCAGCACTACTGCAGCTCTCATGTTTGAGCCTCTTTGTTGTAGCAATACCCAATGCTAGGTTTGGCTGTAATGGGAAATGAGAGTTCTCAGCATCTCTGGCAATCGGAGCATTTTGATATAGAGACCTAGATGCTAGGCTGGACATCTAACCTCATGCTCAAACTTCATGTTTGAAAAATGTGGCCTGAGTTTGTCTGATATTTTCTCTACCAGAAAATAGTTTCTCTTGTCTAATTGTTTTATGTCTTTTTCCCCCCGAGACAAGTGGCTCTCAAGCTATGCACCCACAAATGCTTTAAAATATAACATAACACTCAGAGGAAAACTTTCGCTAAAGAATTTCTCCAATGGATGCACCATTAATGACTGCAATAATGCTATTAATGTAGGTGTTCATAAGGCATTTCCATTTAGCACAAAGCTAGCACAGTAGTTCATCACACTGAAGTGCAACATTGCCTTCTTGAGTCTTTATCAGAATTTGGCCTTAATAGTTACAAGATGAACTACTGTCACTAGAGTTCAAAGAGCAACTCTGGCAGCGTTTTCAGGTATAGGTAGTAATTACCTATAGGAAATATCTGTTAGACAAAGGGGAAAGATGATGCACTGCCCACTGAGATACTCAACAACTTGCTGGGCAACAGTGAATGCCAGGACACACAAGACCTGTTTCATCTCTTCCTGCCTTAGGAACAAGGGTGATTCTCTTCCATGGCAAATGATGGCCTTGTGGATAGTGGGGAATAGCCTTTTAATAAGGCTTTTGATGCCATTTCCCACAGCAGTTTGGTGGTAGATGGGACAACAGTCCTTGCTAGTTTCATTTATCCCAGCACTGCTGGCCAGTTCAGTCCAGCAGGTTATTTGGTGCTGAGAGAAAGCATGGAAGGGGGCAATGGCCCTACTGTTTGCAACCATTCTTGGACACAGTGGAGGTCCTGTGGAGGCTCTGATAAGGGATGTTCTCAAAGTATGTTACTGCTCACAATGGGCAGCTGCTGCCACTCCCGTGTGATCACAGGCTTGGTCCTCCATCCTCTGATAAAGCATCAGTGTCAAGCCACATGGAGAGACCATGAAGGTGCCTGTACTAGGGAGCTTTCCACTCCAGCTCCTTCAAAGAGCACCGTCTCCAATCCTTTCTGCACAAGGTGAAGCAAGGCAACAGTTCAAGTAATATCCTCCTGGAGATGGTCACCAAGGAGGCTCCTGAGGAGAGGCCGGAGCCATGGAGTTTTTACAGTTCAGGGGACATGGATAGTTCACGTATTAGATAAGCTGCCATAGAGATGAGATTTGCACAGGTAACAACTAGGGGCCAGGCAACAGAATGAACTGCAGTAAAAGTTCACAACCTGTACACTGAGATAAAGTCCCAGGACAGCAGCTAGGCCAGGTTGCAAGGAGCAGCTCTTTAAATCCACGTACTTTCCTGTCCCATTATATTTTCTGCAGTCCAGACAACTGAAGTTTATTTCCTACTAAAATACGATCCCAGGATTCTGACACCCCCTCAGGCCCATGCCCTAAGGGGCCAGGCAGCTTAGACTCACTGTCCTCTATCCCTTATTAAAACCAAATGTTCCCTCCTTTCCTTCTTCAGAATGAACCACAGGCCATGATCTCACATTCACAGACTCTGACCTGTTGATG